TGGTATTCTACATGTGTTCTGTTGTGCATAGGGTTTTCAGAGGCCTCCTATTTCAGAAGTGGATGGCCAATCCTTCTTCCTAGTCTGTCTTAATCTGAATATTCAGATTTAGAGAAGTATCAGACAGACCAGCATTTTACAGAAAAGTGGAAGATATATCCCTTATTGTGGCGTTAACCATTAGTATCAGTGTTGTCCCTGCCTTCGGTACATGTGTCTTGACCCACTTATTTCCCACCTCCACCATCCACCAGGATACCCATCCACTTCTACCCACTCCCTTCACCACCGATCTCCCACTGTCCAACCCTTGATCTGATAGCTTATATCTGAAGCTTCCTTGGGCTTCTGTGATTCCAAACATGTCGGCTGCTGATAGTTTCTTAGGCTGTGACCAGTGTCTCTGAAGTTTAGTGGTAATGTTTCCCGAGCAAAGGTGATGTGTCCTGTAGAACTAGAGTCTCGGCGATCTCTAGGTTAGGAAAATCAGACTTTGGGACAACTCTGACTTGACCTTTTGTTGTTGCTAGGCGTCCTCCAGTTCATAGTGACCCTATGGGCAATGAATCTGTACCTTGCCCTTTCCAGTGTCGTCCTCCTCAAATCTGATCTTTTTTACCCCATTGTTACAGTCATGGTGTCAATCTATCTCATTGAGGGGCTTCCATTCTTTTGCTGACCGTCCACCTTTCCAAGCATGACACCCTTTCCCAAGACTGGCCCCTCCTAACAACATGCCCACCTTGTCCCTAAGGAGCACTTGGATGGCACTTTTTCAAGACATATTTATTTGTACTTTGGGAAGTTCATGGGATTTTTAGGCCACATGTCCAACACTACAACTTAAAAGCATCAGTTCTTCTTCTGTCATCCTTGGTCTTTGTCCAACTTTCAGATGCATAGCAAGTATCTGAAAGGGTCATGGCTTAGAGCAGATGCACGTTCGTCTTTAAACTGACATGGTTGCTCCTTAGCACTTCAGAGGGCCTATGAAGCAGATTTAGCCAAAGCAGTACCAATATACCTTTTGATCTCTCGCCTGGGGATACCAAGGGCGTTGATTGTTGTGGATCCAAGCAAGATGAAATTGTTCAGAACTTCAATTTTCTCTCCATCTATCATGATCCAGTAGTAAGGATTCAGATCTTCTTGATGTTGAATACAATCCTTACAGAGGCTGTAGTCTTTGATCTTTTGCAGCAAGCATTTCAAGTCCTCTCTGATGCTTTGCCATTACAACTGCTGGGCATGAAATATCTACCCTAAATGAATTTTCCATGAGATCAGTTTTATTCTGGTTGCATCAAATTTGTTGAGCATCTTGTAAAAAAAAAATGCATTGATTAACGTTTAAAGCTAAGGACAGAAATTATTCTGAAATGGTAAAATACGGTTTGTTGACCATGAATAAAACTCTTAAATTCTGTTAAAGGCAGAATCTTCTCCCTCTGATCGGTTAGTATCACTCAACCCATGGCCCTGCATTATGCCCGTACCATCTTGGGTAAGAACCTCAACTTTAAAAATCCCTAAGAAGGAATACCGTAAACATAATATTTATTCTAGAAGAAGATTGAGCAAACACGATATAAGAAAATACTTACAGCTTCCAAACTTCAATGGGCAAGCATGCACATCCATGGGAAAATCTTCCAGATGCATGGGACATTCAGCATGAATGGTTAACCTAAAACAAAGAAAAGTCAGCCAACACAAATGACATTCAATGCTAGGCTCAATCCGTATTTGACATCAATGCCATGCTCCTAAAAATAATGGTAGATGTTATTTAGATTTCCTGAGGTTCAAGTGAGCACAGTAAACAAAATGCCTCTGGAAACTATGAACTTGGAGAAAAGACAATAGTTCCAGGAAGGCTTCAGGTCTTTTGTTCATGGGATCTAAGAGTCGTGCTTGACTCAACAGCAATCAGCAAAAACAAGTCATTTATTTAAAAAATAAAGAAGGGGATTTTTAAAGTTTCACTTGGAAATCTGTTTTCATATTAGATTTTTGTTTCTATTAGTTGGCCCTTTAGCTTTTTTGGTTGTTTTTTTTTTAAGTTCTATTTCATTATTTTATTGGTTTGCTTATGAAATTTGTATACATTATGTTTCACACTATTTTTCATTCATATTGTGTTTCATACAATCATTCTCATGCATTATGTTGCAACCACTCTGGACAACAGTTTGGCATTTCCTCAAAAAGTTGAACAGAGAAACTGCATATGACCCAGCTAGAAATATACCCCAAGGAAATCATAACTGAGACATAAACAGAGATTTGTACACCAATGCTCATAGCAGTGTTATTTGCCATCACAAGAACATGGAAACAACCCAAATGTCCAACCACAGCCAGACGGATTGAGAAATTGTGGTACATTAACCCAATGGAATGCTACGAATTACTCAGGAGCAACAATTTTGAAAAATACTACCTAACTTGGGGTAGGCTGGACAGCATTATGCTGAGTGAATGAACAGTCTCCTAAAGACAAATACTACATAAGACCATTACTGTAAAAATAGAAGGATAACTAGTAAAACATGTAAGAGAACTCAAGGGAGGAGGGGCAGGAGCAGAGACGTGAGGATGGGTAGGGGTGAAACCACAGGGTTGCACAGTTTGGTGGGTGGACGGAGGGGGGAAATGGGAAGGATTCAGGTGACAAGACAGGGTAATAATGGACAAGGTCCAATGGTGATTACTTTTACAAAAAAAATAAAAGTTTTATTTTATACTGGTTTGCAGTCACTTGTTAGGAGGATAGAAGGAGAATTGATGCCTTTGAGCTGTGGTGCTGGAGAAGAGTATTGAATGTACCATGGACTGCTAGGAAAACAAACAGATTCATCCTGGAAGGGGTTAAATCAGGTGGCTCCCTGGAGGCAAGGATTCTGAGGCTTCATCTGGCATACTTTGGACATGTAAGGAGGGACCCAGTCCTTGGAGAGGGATATCATGCAGGAGGTAGATTGATTCAGTGACTGGGGTAATCAGATTGGGTGTATCGGAGACAGTGCGATTGGCACAGGACAGAGTGGAGTTTAGGGCTGTTGTACATAGGGTCATGAAGAGTCGCAAGCGACTCGACGGCATATAACAACAACAACAACTGGTTTACTTACAAAGTTCATATATGTTGTTTGAAACATGAGATCTTTCTCATTTCCTTTACCAACCTCTCCCTCCACTCATCAAATTGTGTGACCCTACGATAACCCTCCTCACCCCTCTGCTCCCCCTTCCTCCCTCCTTGGATATTCACACATGTTTTACTAGTTATCTTTCTATTTCTACAATAATGGTCTTACACAGTATTTGTCCTTATGGGACTGAGTTAGTTCACTTAGCAAAATGCTGTCCAGTCCCTCCCAAGTTAGATAGTGATTTACAAAATCACTGCTCCTACGTACTGTGTGGTGTTCCATAGTGTAAATGTACCATAATATCTCAATCCATATGACTGTGGTTGGACATCTGGGCTGTATCTATGTTCTTGTTATAGTGACTAACGTTACTGTGAATACTGGTATACAAATCTCCGTTTGTACTTCAGTTCTCATTTTCTTGGGGTATATTCCAAGCACCAGAATAGTTGAGTCATATGGAATTCCACATGCCAAACTGCCTTCCAGAGTGGTTGTATCACTTTACAATCCAACCAACAATGTATAAGAGCTCCTAACTCAAATCAAAGCTACTAAATGGGGAAATGACAACCTCTTTAACAAATGGTGCTGGCAAAACTGGACTGCTATCTGCAGAAAGCTGAAACAGGATCCACATCTCACACCACACACAAAAATCAACTTAAGGTAGATCAGAGACCTGGGAATAAAGGCCAAAATCATAAAGTTCATCAGAGACAAACTGGGATCATGCTTAGACAGCCTAGTCTATGATATAAAGAGACTTCCAAGTACAGCCAGAAATGTACAATCTGGAGAGGATCAAATTGATGAACAGGCTCTGCTAAAGATTAAATCCCTGTGAGCATCAAAAACATTTTCCAACACAGTGAAAAGAAAACCTGCTGACTGGGAAAAAAACATTTGGCAATACCATTTCAGACAAGGGCTTATCTCATATAAAAAATGTACAGACTTGAACAGGGCCTCCAGAAGAAAAAGCCCGATAACATAATTACAAAATGGGCAAAAATACGGAAAGACATCTCACAGGAAGATATTCGGATGGCCAACAAATACATGAAGAAATGCTCAAAATCACTGGCAGTAAGAGAGATACAAATCAAAACTACACTGAGATACCAGCTCACCCCAATAGCCATGGCAAAGTTTACCAGGGTAGAAAGTCATAAATGTTAGAGAAGATGTGGAGAGATAGGAACTCTTATACACTGTTGGTGGGATTGTAAAATGGTACAACCACTCTGCAAGGCAGTTTGGTGTTTCCTCAGAAAGCTGAACATAGAAATTCCATATAACCCACTTATTTGACTGCTTGGAATATACCCTGAGAAAATGAGAACTGAAGCACACAGACAGACTTGTACACCAGTGTTCATAGCAGCAGTACTGACCATCACAAGTATGTGGAAACAGCTCAAATGGATTCAGAAATTGTGGTACATACACAATGGAATACTATGCAGCACACAGGAGCAATGATGATGTAACTTGGGGAAGGACTGGAGAGCATTATGCTGAGTGAACTCACTCAGTCCCATAATGACAAATACTGTGTAAGACTATTATTGTAGAAATAAATAACTAGTAAAATGTGTATGAGGATCTAAAGCGGGGGTGCAGAGGGGAGGGGGGGTGCAGAGGGGAGGGTGGGTGGGGGCATAATCCTAAAGTTGCACAATTTGATGGGTAGAAGGAGGGGTGAGTAAAGGAAATGGGAAAGATCTGTATAAAAAACAATGTATGTGAATTTTGAAAGTAAACCATTATTAGAAAAAAAAACACGAGTTCCTATCTTTAAACTCTCTCCAACATTTATTACTTGCTGTCTTGTTAAACTTTGCCACTGCTACTGGGGTGAGATGGTATCTCATTGTGGTTTTGACTTGCATCTCTCTTATGGTATGCAGATTCTTTAAATCAGCTCTGTCACCTTAAAAAAAGTCTAATTTCACTGCTTTATGACTCCTTAATCAGACTCTAAGAAGCATGACAACTCCAGGATACGGACTCATTAGCTCCCAGTAACAGTTTCGTTATCTCTGAAACTAGGTTAATAATCCTGATTCTTCTCAGAAGTCAAACATGCAAATTAACCAATTTAAAGTCTGTACTAGAAAGGAGAAGTCTTTAGAACGAGTATGTTTACCCTGATACTGAAAAGGCGCAAAAGATGACTCAGTTCCATATAACTGTTAAGAAGTGGATCCTAAAAAAAAAAAAAAAAAAAAAAAAGAAGTGGATCCTATAAATGAGGACATACACACTCTCACACACATACACACACAGAGTAGAACACTTAAAGGAAATAGAGAATACCAGAGATTTCTGAACGCAAATCTAAAGAGTTCAGGCTTTTCCAACATGTGGGGGAGATGTGCATGGATTTTTCCATGGAAAACTGTGGGGCATGACTTATGATGTCTATGTACTCAGGTGTGAGGTCCTGGAAGCAACACTTCTCCTATCCCATAAATTGGTTAAGTATCCTTCAGCCCTCCCTTTCACTCCCCCTTCTCTCAGAAAATGTTTTACAAGTCATTCAATATGCTTAGTTATAGCAGTGGAACTGACAGAGTTGGTCCAGATACCGAATTCCTTTTCTTTCTAATGGAC